GTCCATGTAAACCTAGAGTAGTCATCGACAATCACAAACGCAAAGTAATTACCACCAAAACTTTTTGTTCTAGAAGGACCAAAGAGATCCATGTGCAAAAGTTGAAGCAGTCTAGATGTTGAAACAACGTTCTTAGACATAAACGAAGCCCGAACATGCTTCCCCTTTTGACATGCATCACATATGGTGTCTTTTTCAAACTTAAGTTTTGGAATGCCAATTACTAAGTCTTGTGAAACCAATTTGTTCAAAAGGTTCATGTTCATATGAGCTACCCTTCGGTGCCATAACCAAGTGTCTTCCTCTTTACTCATGAGGCACTTAGCAAAGCCGGAAGGAGATTTGTCTAAGTTAACCATATATATGTTATCGATTCTATCACCACGTAGAATGACCTTATTGTCACTATGGCGTTCTATCGTGCATGATTTTGAATCCAAGGTGACACGGTTTCCCTTGTCACATAATTGACTTATGCTCAAGAGATTGTGTTTAAGACCTTTAACAAGCAAGACATTATCTATAGAGGAGTCTTCGGACTTACCTACTCAACCGACGCCGATAATTTTTCCCTTGCTATTATATCCAAAGACTACGTTTCCTCCTTTAGCGGGTTTGATTTGTAGGAACTTGGATGCATCTCCGGTCATGTGCTTGGAGCATCCGCTATCAAGGTACCAAAGTACACTTAACGCCTTCAAGCACACCTACAAAAATGATTTAACTTTCTTACGTTGAGCCTTAGGAGGTTGTCTAGGTGTTTGCTCAACGTTTTTATCCTTAGATTCATTTTTATCAAAACCTAATCCTTCCTTAGAAAAATGCATAGTGTCCAGGAGTAAATTAAGATATTTGTGTGGTGTATTAAACATCTTAACTATACTCTCAAGTTTTGCAACCTTTTCTTTTAAATCTTTGCAATATTCACATTCACTTGAAGAGCTTTCCGGTTTGTCAGCGCTTCTTTTTCCATAAAATTTATTTTCTTGTTTCAACATTTCATTATCTTTTTCTAGTTTTTCAAAATCATTTTCAAGAGTTGAAAGACGTTTCTTTAATGATTTGTTGGTTTTAGAAGCGCTAACAAATTCATCATAAAGCTCTCGAAGAGCTTCTTGCATCTCTTCAAAAGTGTAAGAGTCGGAGGAAGTGATACATACCTCTTGTATTTCGTCGGCGTGGTCTTCGTGTGCCATGAGACAGAGGTTGGCAGCTTCTTCCTCTTCTTGGTCAGTTGACTCGTCGTCGGAGTCGCCACCCCTTGAGATATAGGCATGTTGCTTTTTGAAGCAAGGTTTGTCCTTGCCGCTTTTGCCTTTTGGACACCTCGGCTTGATGTGGCCTATCTCGCCACAACCATAGCACTTCGGGGGACCGTCGTGCTTTCTTCCTTTTCGTTCAAATTCCTTCTTCATGAATTTGTGGAATTTCTTGATGACGAGTCCGAACTCGTTGTCGTCATCGCTTGAGACTTCTTCTACGGTCTCCTTGGTTGCTTTGAGCGCTATTCCTTTCTTCTTTTGTTCATCCAAAGACGGGGTTAGAATAGTAGATTCATAAGTTTTGAGGTTACCTCTTAGCCCGTCAATGGTGACATTGGAGACTCCGATGGATTCGTAGATTGCGTCAGCCTTTGATCTCCATTCAGGTGTGAGACTCCGCAAGATTTTCCTCACGAGATCCTTGTTGGCATATGTCTTTTTGAGAGCATGAAGGTAGTTGATGATCTTTGAGAACTGATCAAACATGTCATCGATCTTTTTGCCTTCCTTCATCCTAAACATTTCGTACTCCTACGTTAGGAAGTCAATTTTGGCTTCCCGAACTTGGTCCGTACCTTCATATGTGACCTCCAGCTTGTCCCACATTTCTTTGGCGGTGGTGCAGCAAGAGATCTTGCGATAATCATCGGGCTTGACTGCGCAGTACAGCATGTTGATTGCCTTGGCGTAGTTCTCCACCTTTTTTATGTCTTCGACATCAAATTCATCCTCGGTCTTTGGGACGAGTTTTTCACCGACCTTCTTCATTGGCTTTTCTTTGCCGTTTTTGATGACCAACCACAACTGGAAGTTGGTTGAGCGGATATAAATTCTCATCCGCTCTTTCCAATATGTGTAGTTGGTGCCATCAAAAAGCGGTGGCCTAGAGGTTGATTGACCTTCTCCAATTCCTACATAAAGATTTCTAGAAGAAGAACCCATGATCACTTTACTCTCAAACGGTTAAGTTTGGACGCGAGTTAGGCTCTCATACCAATTGTTAGAATAATAGACCAACACTAGAGGGAGGGTGAATAGCATTTGATCGTAGAAATCGCAGGAATTAAAAAATTTAAAAGAGATGTAAAGAGAAGGGTAAGAGGCACACCGAATTTACCCTGGTTCACCACAACTTGTGGCTAATCTAGCCTCCCTCTCTCGAGTTACACTACTATCTCGTTAAGCTTAACGGTGCTTAACAAACCCTTACAACTTGAGAGTTCGAGTCACACGAACCTCAACGAATCCTTCTAAGGAAACAGCCCTTCCTTTGAATCAACCGAGAGAAATACTTTCTCTCTGAAAGGTAACCATGCAAGGATAGGCAGCGGAATATATAAATTTTTAACATCCTAACATGATTATCTTGCCCAGTATCACGTACTAAAACATATAGTAGTAAGAAATTTATACCTTTCTCCGTATGCGGTAAAAACGAAGAAGTCGGAGGAAGAGCGTTGAAAGTGCAAACGTAACCGTTCAAGCGTCCGGTCTCCAACTTTGACACACGAACAACGCCGGAGTCTACCACAATCTTTATGCTAGTAAAGATTATACTAGTATAAAATATAAAGATTAAAATTGGGATAATAATAATCTTGTATATTTCTATAGAAAATATTTCTAATAATATTTAGAAAATATTATAGATATTTTCTATACACAAAATGATATTAATGGAACACAAAATAATCACTTTTCTCTCTCAAGATTACTATGGCCGAAAATACAATCTTAAACAATAGCCCAACTCCCTCAATCCTTTTACAAAGTGGCGTGCTAATTATACGGAAGAAAAGTGATTAATTTGACTTTGTCATTAACTAAATGACAAAACATTATTAGCTCCACTAATGAATCAATCAAAAGCAAAATTTGATTCCATAAATCTCCACTTGGCCGAACAATGATATGAGAAAGATTTGTCAAATTCTTCTCCACTCAAATGTTCAAAGTGTATTTTATTTGACACCAAAAATTAATATAAAATTAATTTTAAATCAAATAAAAATACCCATATCATTTTAAACAAGTATACAAATATAATTTAAATAGTTTATGTCAAAATAATTATTTTCATAATTAAAATGACAAACCAAAATAAAATATTCAACATATAATATATATATATATTTCGGTATTTATATATATAAATATATCACCGAATGTTTTACATATATATAATATTATATTCCAAAATATTTTATTTTACTATTTTACAAATATACAAATTACTTATTATCCCATTGTTTAATCCTACTCCTTAAATTGTTCAAAGTGTGTGACCCGTATAGGCACTTATAAAGCTGGCCACAGTATTGGCTCTGCGCCAATACTATAAGCAATAAGCGGTATCTAGCAACACATTATTGC